CGGCAGGAAAAGGCACTAACACGGAGACACATGACTCCCAGCTGGAAGACTACCACCAGCCAAAAGGAAGCGGGTCCTAAATCTCCAATCACTTCTGTCTCCCTGGAAACCAATACTTCCCAACCCCATCTATCCTACAGGCACAGCGTTGGTTCTTTCAAAGAGTCTCCCATTTCCCAAACTACTCAAATGTAATTGGTGTTCTGCGGAGAAGAGCTTTTCCCAGCTGTGGCTGGAACTGTTATCTAATCAGCTGTCAGCCTCCCCTGCTTCTTGTCCATCAAGTCCCAGCGTGCCAGCCCCAGGGGACGCATCGTGGCTGAACCAAAACAGTCATGATTCTCCTGCTCCCCTTTATCATGTGCTGGCTCTCCCTGCCTCCCTTATAACAAGTCCTGGGACCCAAAACCAACCCATGAGATTCACGCCGTCTTCTGGGGACTGTCTGGGAAAGGTTTTCCTGGGCTGAAAAATAAGAAAGCCACCTGCACAGAGCCCTGGTTCAGCCTGATTTTCACCCTAGCCTCCCTCCTATGGCCGAATGAAATCATGATGCCTGCAGGAGCTCTCGCAAGCGTGAGGACATGTGAGCAGAGCACAGAGCAGCTGAAGGATGGAAACGGGCTGGGTTACAAGTGACCACCAGGCCGGGACTGACCACCCTCAGGCTTCATGTCTGAAGAGGTTAATACCTTTAGTGTCTGAGCCACTGTTATTTGGGAATTCTGTTACATGCAGCCAAAAGCTTTCTAAGTGGTCTAATAGTGAATCTCCCAAAGAAGAATGAAGTTTTCCAAACTCACCCAACTTCTTATTGTGTGTGTGTGTGTGTGTGTGTGTGTGTGTGTGTGCGCGCGCGCACATGTGATAGTTCAACATTTTTATTGGTTAACCCTTTCGATGAGTATACTTTTACTTGCAGCTCAAAATATTAGTTGTACAAATATTTGGTATATTACAGTAGTACAAAATAAAGCAAACAAACAACAACAAAAAACTTCCTTTTTAGAGCACCGTTTTGCAAATACAGTCTTAACAATCTGGTTGTATTCCATAGGTAAAACTCTAGAGGAGATAAGAAGCCACGTGATAAACCAAGCTCCAGATTGTTTTTGCAAAAATTAATTTGAAATTTCACTTAAAAATGAATATATAATGGAGCAGAATACAAGAACCACATGTCTTTTAAAAATAAAAGAAATTTCAGCCTGGCTGGTATGGCTCAGTGAGCGTCGACCTATGAATGAGGAGGTCATGGTTCGATTCCCAGTCAGGGCACATGCCTGGGTTGGGGGCTCGATTCCCAATGGGGTGCATATGGGAAGCAGCATCTCTCATCATTGATGTTTCTACCGCTCCCTCTTCCCTCCTCTCTGAAATCACTAAGAAAATATTTTTTAAAAAGATTACTGCAATGTCAGGTCTGGTCGATTTTCACACTTTCACTAACTACACTAAAGGCAACACTGGTGGACTGCTAGGGCAGTGGTCGGCAAACCGCGGCCAGCGAGCCACATGCGGTTCTTTGGCTCCTTGAGTGTGGCTCTTCCTAAGCTTTAGGAGTACCCTAATTAAGTTAATAACAATGTACCTACCTATATAGTTTAAGTTCAAAAAATTTGGCTCTCAAAAGAAATTTCAATTGTTGTACTGTTGATATTTGGCTCTGTTGACTAATGATTAGTTTGCCGACCACTGCTCTAGGGCAGTGGTTCTCACCTGGAGGCAATCCGCCCCCCAGGAACATACAACAATGTCTGGAAATATTCTGGGGTGTCACACGTGGAAGGAAAGTGCTGCTACACACAGAGGGTAGAGAGCAGGAAGCTGCTGTAACACCCCACCAGTACAGGGCAGTCCCGCAACACAGAGCCCTCAGGTCTCTGTCCTGCTGGGTTGGAAATTCTACTCCCAAAGTTCCCAGGTAAATCTGTGATGAAAGCTGCAATGGCCAAAAGTTTCACTTTCTCATCCAAACAAACTGATCCTTTTGAAATGCGGTGGAAGAGACTATTCCTGTAGTGACTCACAAACAGCCCAAAGCAAATAGAAATTTTAAACTTCCTTTTAATATTCTTTAAAAAAAAAAAAAAAAGAAAGAAAGCAAAAATTCCTGTCCTAGGAGACAGCCCGTGGTCACGGACCGTTCTGCAAGCACTAGCAGTAATATGGTCTCTGCACCACGGAGGTGGCCACACACCCCAGCCATCTGCTCAGCAGAAGCCACCTGCCAGGCGGGGAGGAGGAGGACAGGTAGCTCTCCTCCACAGCTCTCTCTGCCGGGAGCCCAGGAGCCTCCCTGCCGCTGAAACCACTGGAGACCCAGCAGCTGAGCTCCTGACTGAACCCTGGAATTATAATGAGGCAGGGATGGTGGAAAGGCCTGCAGAGCTGGCACAGGTAGCTCTCCTTATCTGCACCTCGTGGCCAAGCCCACACTATCCCCCTGGTCCAAGCCCATCCTATCTCCTTCGCTGCTGCCTCTGGCATGCGGAGCATTTGCAGTTGCCTCCTTGAAGCTGCAGAGTAAATAGGGCTGTGCATACTGCACATTTTTAACCAAGCCTGTTTATCGAGCCCCTGTTCTTCTTGTCACTCTCACCACCTATTCAGGTCATAAACAACTTGAGCCTCCCAATGCCATTCTCTGGGTCAAGGGCACCTTAGAAAGATGAAGAGCTCATTGCAAGGGTAAGGAAATCTAGTTTCGGGAAAGGCCAAGTGAGCCACTCCGGTTGCCCTCTCCACTGGAACTGTATGTTTTGCTCTTCCTTTTACAACACTACCATCTCAAACATACCCGAGCAAATACATGTGGGAGAGCTAGGAAAGCAACATTAAATGTAATGGCAAAACCTCCTGTGGAGAGAAACGTATGCTGCTAAGTAGAACTGCATACACCTTAATTCCAACTTTCAAAAGTCTGTATTTATTGGGTCGTTGTATGCAAGTTCAAGAATAAAAGCTGTACTATACTGGCTTAAAACCCCTTAATGGTTTCATCAAGTCACCAAAGACATCATACTCAAGACTACTACATTGTATTTAAAATTGGTTTGGTATACTTTATCATTAAAATAAAAAGTTTAGGTAAAGCTTTTGGTCCCTTGAGACAGAACAAATATTTCAACAGCTGGAAGATGTTAAAAGTCAAGAGTTCGGGCATGTGAAGAGTCATCTATATAATTACTCTTCCCTAAAAACAAAACATCTCGACGGTCGCCAAAAAAACATGCTATCTCATAGGAAACCAACAAAACATAAGAACACAAATTATAATGTTTCTTCAATCTTTTATTTATAAACTTTACTTAGCTACTAGAACTATTTAAACTGCCCCAAGGTACGATAAATCATTTCTTCTTAAAGATACGGGAACACTATTTTCCTAAGTAAGAAAAATAATCATCAGCATCTTTATATATTTATCATAGATGTATTATGGGTTTTTAGGGTAGACCACTCAAAGTTTTCATTTCAGCTAGATTTCCAAGCAGCTAAAAGCATTCATAACACAGTCTGACTAAAAGGAACAAAAAGCAAAGCTCAACCTCTCTTTCTTTCTTTTTTTTTTTAACTTATTTTTTATTGAATTTATTGGGGTGACACTGGTTATTAAAATTGTATAGGTATCAGGCATACAATTCTACAATACATACCTGTACATTATATTGTGAGTTCCCTACCCCAAGTCTTCTTTCACCACCATTTATTTCCCCTATACCTTCTTCTGCCTCCCCCACCCTATTTTTCCTCTGGTAATCATCATACTGCTATCTGTGTCCATGAGTCTTTTTTTTTTTCTTCACTTAATCCCTTCACCCATCTCACCCCCAACCCGCTTTGTCTGACAGCTGTCAGTCTGTTCTCTATATCCATGAGTCTGTCTCTACTTTGTTAAGTTTATTTTTTACATTAGACTCCGCACATAGGTGAAATGGTATGGTACTTGTCTCTCTCTGCATGGTCAGTTTCACTTAGCATAATGCTCTCCAGGGTAGTTTGAATATTTCAGCTAAAATGTCAGCTATTCAGAAGTAGGATTTAAATAAATATTTCTGACAAATGTAAACATTTATTTTACATATTCCTAGAAGCCTGTTTCCATGATTCTTTTCACCTTGTCTAAACTGTACCCCATGAAGCACCCCTACTTCTATTCTATGCCAATAATTCTGCCCACTTGCTTGCCTTCATATGTGGAAATAACACACCACAAATTTATGGTTTTTTTAAGTTCACATTCTGGGAACGATGGAATGTTTATGAAGGACCAGCAGGAAAATATTTTACAATCCTACATACCCTGAGTATAGTTAATGAAGAATGTTCCCGCCAATTCTTTGCGGGAGGAGCTAAGGGGAGTGAGTGTGTGTATGCATGTGGGTATGTGTGTGTAGTGGGGACAGATAGAACAAATACTGTAAAAAAAGAAAAAAAAGAGTCCTTTCTGGTTATCTCCCCAGAGCAGGATATGAACACACAACCAGAAGTCTCAAGTCAGAGGCATAAACACGCTGCCAACAGACGGATTTACTTTCTATTCCCTTAAGGAGAGAGTATTAGAGTCTCGCCAGCATCTTCCCAGTCACGGGGAAACGTTTTAGACCAACAATCATTACGAGCAGTGGATTTTAGATTAAGGTACAAGGAGCACTAGACTTGCACTCTAGCTCCTTATCCACCAGAGGAAAGGCTCAACGGAGAAGAAATTTGAAAAATGCTCATTCGGCATAATTAGAGTGTTGCCTCCCCACAGATATGAGAACTCAAAGACACAGATGAATAAAATGCTTACAACAGTGGCTCTGCACACCGCAAAAGACTCAAGTCTTAGCAGGTAATTTAAAGAAAAGGAAGCACAGACGCTCCTGTGAGTCCCCGTGTAAAAACTATACACCTCACATCTCAAGCTTTGAAAGGACCATCACCTTCAACAAGCATCTGAATTGCGGATCTTGGAACCCGGATACACAGCAAGCGACACAAAGGCTGCTTACCTCTTCTTCTTGGTGATGATGAGCACGTCGTTAAAAAGAAAGAAGTAGACTTGCTGTTTGGACGTCCTTTTTGAGAAAAGCACCGTGTCCTCCACATAGGCTGTCAGCTCGCCTCTCTTCACCAGCCACCGGGAAGAGGAGACCAGAGGGAAAGGCTACAAACAGAGAAGAACTCAGTACCAAGGCCAAAGGAGAGAGCGTCTAAGATGACGGGGATTAAAACATAAAACTTACGTGCAAACACAGTATGCACAGTACGGCATGCATCATTCTTTCATAGACACATTATAACAAAATATAGTAACTAGAGAAGTACAGTAATTCTCCAATAGAAAGTGAGCAACAATTTATTTTCCAATATAAAAACAATTAACTTGACTACACATAACTAAAACTCAATGAGAAAATGTTATTGGGTCAACCAGAAAGGATTATATTACCCTTCCATGAACTCTCAGCTGAAAAAGATCAAGAAGGGAGTCACTGAACACTGAAAGGCCTCAAAATGAAATCTGTAAGTATCAACTGCAGTTACTTTAAATATAAATATCACAAACCAGAATCTAAACATACAGGAAAATGAAGATAACTGTAGCTAACAAGAGCCCAATATAAAAGCCTGCATTCCTTTATGAACTGAGTAGACTTCATTCAAAAGGAAAAAAAAATCCTCTTAAATGTATGATTTGTCAGCCGATTATTTACTTAGCCATCTTCTGAAGAACACCTGTTCTTAAATGTATGGTAGTTTTCCCCATGGAAGTTCATCCCTGAAAGCAACATGCCATTTTTCTGGCTGGGGAAAATGAGGTTTTCCCAAAATAATCCATCTTAATCTCATAGAAAAGGCTGGATACAAGAAATTACATAGTTTTTTAAAAATTCAGTTTCCAGTTTCCGACTGGAAAACTCTCAAAACCACAGGATAATCCTTACCCTTGAGAGCTCTTTTTTTTTTTAAGTTACCAGAAATGCTTACTGTCAAAAATTTGATTTAAAAAACTGCATCCATAAAATAAGCAGAAGTTCTTAGACACACAAAACATAACTGTAGTAGCTCAGTGCACCCAAATGTCATCCTTTTCAGGGAATAATGATTAAAAATAGCTAAAGGAAATTGAGGATATTAGGGAGGAAATAAGAAAGCTAAGAGGATTTCTTTTTTTCTCTTCTTTTATTTATTTTTTTACTTTATAAAGAACTTTTATAAGCAGGTTGCTCATCAGTTATGTACTGTTTTCCTGAAGATTTAAAAAGGAAGAGGAAACATTATGTCTGACCTCAAACTTTCCAAACTTGCCATTAAGGGAGTTCATATTTTCCAGACCCAAATCTCAAATTAGACAATTATCCAACAGGAATGGCTGAAACTTAAAAGACGGACAGACAAAGATGGCTGAGACCACTCTGGGGAACCCCACCAGCACACAAGAGGTCACCGCAAAGAACTGTGTGTCAGGTTTGGTCCTG